ATTTATGTAGCCATCCCCAGCGCTTGTGATGTGTGCTAACATAACTTCGAATTATTTTTTACAATATTTTTATTAACTCTTTCTGCGATGTTTGCCTGTGGTCTATACGGAAGCATTTTGATATGGCGTATGCCAAAGTCCAGTGCAAATGTTTTCAAATATTTGGCTAACGAATTGTTTTACCGTTATCGCTAATGACTTTTATCGGTGCACCGTATTTTAAAATGTATCTGTGTAAGAATGTTTCTGCGACTGTTTTGGCTGACGCGCGTTTAAGTGGAACAATTTCTGTCCATTTTGAAAAATGATCTACAATTATTAAAAGAAAACGATTTTTATTTAACTCACTCTGGGGGAAAGGACCAAGAAGATCTATGCCTAAAATTTCATTCGGAAATGTAGCGCGAATGCTATTTAAGTACCCGGCCGGCCTGTAATTAATATCATTTATTAACTGACATTGATTGCAGGACCTGACATACGCAGTTACTATTTGTATAATTGCGGGAAATATACCGCCTCGCGTACCTTTTTTAAAGTCTTTCTGACCCTAAATGACCCGCTGTTTTTCGCGTCGTGTAATTCCTTCAAAATGCTTAATCGAAGCGAGGCTGGGATGACTGGTTCATATCGAAATTTTCGTTTGTTGTTTTCGTATAAAATAATAAATTATCTATTATTTCATAGTTTTCTGCTCTACTTCTTATCGCATCGATATCTGTGTGTTCAAAGCTTTCGGGGTCTTTCAAATACGCATAGATACTTCCAAACTCAGGATCAGCTTTCAATTCAGCAATAATTGTTTCTCTAGAATCTAAAATTTTGAAGTCAACACAGCCCACCTTATTAACCAGGGCGTTAGGTTTTTTCCCGAGTAAAGTCTACCAACAGCCGCATGATCCGAAAAGACTGTTACTGGCGCTTTGCCGAAATAAACTCGAAATTTGTGTACAGCTGTGGAATCTAATACGGCTAATGTTTCTCTCTCTGTAGCTGTATAATTCCTTTGCGTAGAGTTTAAAGTTTTACTAAAAAATGCCAAAGGATGGCCATTTTGCATGAGAACCACACCTACGGCATAGTCCGACGCATCTGGCTGCAATTTCCAGGTTTTCGTCCCCTTCCGGGAATTTCAAAGTACAGGGGCATTGATGAGCGCTTCTTTTAACCTTTTCAAAAGCTGTATTTGCTTCTGCTGTCCGCGTAAAATTTACTTTTCTTTTCTTTTCTTTTAATTACTAACAACAGGTTCAACAATGTTAGCAAAATCTTTTATGAACGACCGATAATAATAACATAACCCAAGGAAAGAAGAAAAGTTTCTTGGCGGTACTGGGAGGCGGGAAATTCTTGATGGCTTTTATTTTTGAATCCTGAGTTTCTATAAACCCTTTTGCGAAATTTTATAACCCAGATATTTTTAAGTTCTTTAGTCGCGAACTTGCATTTAGATGCGTTAGTTTATAAGACCGGCCTCTTTTAATAATTTAGAAACCTCTTCTAAATCTTAATATGGTTGTTCCAACGTACTACTCGTTATAATTATATCATCTAGATAGATTTAAAGTCGATTTTTCCTAGGACAGGCTTTAGAAGAATGTCCATAGCTCTCTGGAACGTTGACGGGGCCCCACACAACCCAAAGGGCATGCGTAAAAATGCATAAGTGCCCTATTTTGTGATAAACGCTGTTTTATGTATGTCTTCGGGTCTCATAGATATTTGATAGTAGCCAGACGTTAAGTCCAACGTAGTCATGTATCTCGTAGACTTAATCTTTCTAATAAGTTCCTCTTTAACCGGCAAAGGGTAAACTGGAAACTTAGTAACTCTATTAAACTTTCTAGCTTTCTGTAATCGATAGAAAACCTCCAAGCCCTTTTATCCGAAGGAGGGAACTCATTCTTTTTCCTACATAGTACGACTGGACTCGCGTACTCACTATTTATGGGCGTTATTATTTTATTCTTTAACATCTCCTGAATATGTTCTTCGATGATTACGTCTTTTTGTTTGTCATAACGATAAGTTTTAGTGCTACAAGGTTTTTTCGGCATTTAATTGAATCTTATGCGTAACTATTTGGCAGTTTCCTGGTTTTTTCTGAAAACAAATGAGAAAAATTAACTCACCACTTGCTGTATGGCTTGACTTTCATGGTCATTCAGATGGCTAAGGTCCACTTGCGGTTGTTCCACAGGTTCCACCACCCTCTGGTCCATCTCCAGCACCACAGAACTGTCTTGAAAATTCAGCTTGGCCCTCGCGGCCCTTAAAAACTCCATACCTAAAATAAGAGGATTTTGCAGATTCTTCACTACAAAAATTAATACTTTGAGGATTTCCTCTTTTACCTGTATGTTTAATGATAATTTCCCGATTCAGTGACAGGTTTTTCCTTGCGCCGCTATAATTTCGGTATTTTTGGTTTTAAATAATCGTACCCTATAAAAATTCTTTTTGAAGAATGTTTCGCTCATAAAATTTTCCTTCTGCTCCTGTATCGATGAGGGCTTCTACTGGTACACATCGCCAACCCGGACTTGTATAATTGGTAGATGTGAGTTTTTTTTACGATGACCGTATTTAAATGTCTTTTTGAGTGTTTTTTAAAACTTCCGGGATCTGGACCCTCGCTTTCACAGGCCCCTCTACTCGTTTAAAGGTTTCCTTTCAAGTTCTGCCTTCTGGGTACGCGGATATTTGTTTTCGAATTTTCTTTTTGGGCCTTGACCTTCGAGGTTCGATGAGTTAGCTTGATAGCTGTTTCCCCCATAAGAGCGGTTTGCATTTCTGGTTTGCTCATTTGAAGATTTCTTTCGGTACATTGAGAATACGTTGCCCCTCTAGCTTTTTCCGCTATTCTGCGATTTTGAAACTTCACCGCCAATTCGAAGAGCTCCTGCAATGTGATTGGGTTTCTAATTTCGAAGTAGTCTTGAACAGCGGGTAACAATCTTGGTAAGATTATTTCAATAATCTTCTAAAAATTCAGTTTGGCCTTCGCGGCCTTTAAAAACTCCATGCCTAAAATAACTGGACTTTGCAAATTTTTTACCACAAAAATTAATACTTTAAGGCTTTCATCTTTGAACCTGTATTTGTTAAAGATAATTTCCCAATACATTGACACGTTTGTCCTTGCGCTGCTATGATTACTGTGTCTTTTATTTTTAAATAATCGTAACCTATTAAAATTCTTCTTAAAAAAATTGTCACTCATAAAGTTACCTTCTGCGCCTGTATGGATGAATGCTTCTACTAGTACATCGCCAACCAGGACTTGTATAATCGGTAATTGTGAGTTTCTTTACCAACGACCGTATTTAAGGTATCTTCTTGAGGTTTTTTCGTATTTTCGAAACTTCCGGGGTCTGGACCCTCGCTTTTACAGGGCTCCTCTACTCGTTTAAGGCTTTCCTTTCAACTTCTGCCTTCTGGGCACGCGGACGGTTGTTTTCAAATTTCCTTTTTGGGCCTTGACCTTCGAGCTTCGATGAGTTAGCTTGATTGCTCTTTTCCCCATAAGAGCGAATTTGTGTTTAAGGTCTGTTCATTTGAGAACAGACCTTAAACACAAATTGCCTTCGGAGACCTTGAGAATACGATGCCCCCTCTAGATTTTTTCCGCTATTCTACGATTTTGGAACTTGACCGCCAACGCGAAGAGTTCCTGCAATGGTGCTTGGGTATTCGAATTTCGAAGTAATCTTGAACAGCAGGTAGCAATCTTGGTTTAAGATGATTTCAATAATCTCCGCGTCGGGTTTCTTCCCATACAGCATATCCGTCAGCTTAATTTTTCGCAGAATAAAGTCCACGTCAACTCTTCTATATTTCGTTGATAAAAATATATAGCTCGGCTTCTAGCTTTGCTCGGTCTTTCACTATGGGGAAAGGCCTTTAATAATGATCTTTTGAAATTTTCAAAGGTATATGTGTTGGCCTCCGAATTCACCTAATAAAAAATTTGCCTATATTCTTCCACCAAGTGAGGCCTGTCCTCTTAGGGCAGATGTGGCAATGGCAACTTTTTGTCTTTCAGGCACAGGGTATAGCTGGAAATGATTTTCTAGGTACCTTCTAAAAATATCGCCACCGAATTTTTTTTTTTTTCCGTCGAAATTGACATTTGGCTTGATCGATGCTCTCATCGTCTGGACCAGGTATCCAAATCCTTCTAATTGCGTCGCCATTTCTTGTTGTTGGACTTGTACAGGAGCTTTCCATCCAGTTTTCGGCCATTTCAGTTTCGAAGAATTGTTCGGGCGCCAATGTGGTGTTGCGTGGCCCCAAATTTGCCCCGCAACAGTAAGTAGTGACTGCTATGAACTGGAAATTACACAACTCTTAAGAAGGGTTTAACTCCCTTTTTATTCCACTTTAGAAGTTACAGATGCGTTCACTTGACGCTCACAAACTACGACGACCCGGTGGTTAAATAAAAATAGAAAAGTACAACTAAAAATAAATAACAGTATGAATAAATAACAAGTCACTACCTACGAGGCTCTATAAAAGTGACTAACTTAACCGCGTTCTAAGATACAGCTGAGATTTCAGCAAACTTTCTGAATAAGAAGTTGAAAGATTCAACTAACTGCCGAAGTAGGCACACAGGCCGAAACGCACGGTTCTTAAACTTCTACCAAGCAACCTTCACGCTCGTGAATCAAGAAGCACACCTACAAACTCGTTTCCTTTCTATTTAACTCAAATTACTTCTGCTAAAAAATTTGAATACTCTGTGCGTTCTACTAAAATTTACATACTCTGGCATTGGCAATTCCAGGGGAAAGTAAAGGCTTGACAGGAAAGATAGCTTAAACTTAAAATAGATGTTAGTTAAAATAAATATAAACCCTACAAACTAACGTAAGGAAACTATGCAAAATGTCAGGGTGCTTATATGGTATTATTAAAAATATGCATATGCCTTAATAGCTTATAAACGTATTTAGAAAAATGTATAAAAGTAGCCTTATCTGGCTGATACGTACTCCCTATTCAGAGCCAGGCATTCTACTCCAGGATCCATGGCAATTACGTTCGCGGTGCGACGATCTTCCCTAAGATAAAGGAAAATAAAATACATTACATATGCTGAAGCATAGAGATACCGAAACTAAAAGCAAATAATAAAGAAAAAATTGGGGAAAGGGGAAAAAACAGATTTTTCATCCAGCGGTACATAATAAGAAAGTCTTTTCCAAAGTGTGAGTCGCGAAAGATTTTATTGTTTTATTGTATGATTAAGTCTATTTAACGTATACGTATAACATTTATTTATTTATTATCATTTCATTATCACATTACTTTAGTTTAAAAATTATTTTTTCCTCTTCTTCCTTTTTTATGAGTAACCAATATGCACATATAGACAAAAAAAGGCCTGGTTAAAAAAATTAGAAATTCTAGTTTAAATCTTTAGAATGAATATTTATCTTCGTTCTGAAATGATAATTTTGGGTCTTAAATTTATTTTATTTTCAGCTGATTAGATGTAGCTTCCATTATGCGTGCTTCTATTCTATTATTTATAAATCAATTAATTTCCACTTCTAAATTGCAGATTAATGTAATAATAAAGAAGATGGTGCTGCAGATACTACACATTGGACAGTAGCTAAAAAGTCGCAGTTTCTTAAAATTTAATGTTACTGCTTATTGAAAACTATATTTAAGTGCTAAATGTTGTGTATTAACAATAAGCGGTGAATAAAGCTTTCCGCGCATTTTTTCAGGTGAATTTTAATTTAGTCTTTTTCAAAGTTGGTTTGATGAGAGTCTGAGCTAGCTGAATACCCTCTAGAGCTAAAATTTAGAGCATTTTAACCTGTGAATAGGTAATTTCTAGAATCTGTAATTAGCTTATTATACGATAGTCTAGCTCGGGGTCTCTCAACCTTTATTGCCCATGTACCCTTTTCACCACTGCTAGAAGCTCATTACTACCCTCTTTTCGAAAACTTAAGAAAAAATATTTATGCATTTATTTAGATCTGGATTATTTTAATATGCTTTATTACTAAATAACAAAAAAGTATAGGAAATGTTGATAAATACCAGAATTCAAATAAAAGTACTTTTCATAAACTAAAACTAAATACTGAACAGCTAAATGAACATTTGATCACATCCCCCTGAAATTATGAAATTCCCACTTAAAGGATTTTCCCTTGGTTCAGAATCTCTGGTCTTCAGATAACAGTTTAGTTTGTAATTATCTTTTCACTATTTGTGTAACCGACAGGAGTTGGATCTCAGATAAAAGTTTGGTTATTATTTAACCTTTTCTGTGAGGTTACTTTGAATGTATAAAATAAGTTATAAGGTATTTTCTCCCTCCTTTCTGTGTGCTTTCGGGGTGTAAATTGAAGCACATCCGACGGCTAAGCGAAAGGTCTGGACTTCGAATCCCGGCGAGGGCACTGCGACAGGCTTTTATTGGTGAAAACCCGTGTTAGCTATCTTAAAAAGTGACTTTTTAAGCAGAGGATAAGACGCGAAAAGTTGAATCGGTACTAAGTCTACAGTGTCCACTAACTAAAAAATATTATATGGAAATTTTATGGGCTGAATGAATTAATTTTTGTGTTAAGTGTTAACGCTAACTACTTGATACTCTCGACAATTCGTCTTGCCGAAATCCATGCATTAACGGTATAGATACAAAGTGCACACTTACGTGTAAAAACCGAAAAAATAAACTGCGGAACTTTAATTTAGCGGGAACAGTTTCTGGATTGCATGTTTAGGTTACCATCTTCAGTTGGTAACTCGACTCGGATGGAAAGAAAAGTCACTGGCGTTTCATGTTCTGCGGCTTGATAAAAACACAGAATAAAAGTCAGTCAAGATTGCACTGAACTTGCACTGATTTGAAATATGGATTCAGAAGTTTATGCAGAAAATAAATTCTTTTCAAATTTTGTTTATTTGTCCTAATATTCAATTAACTTATTGAATATTAGCAACTTTATAAAGAATTTTTGGCTTGCTTTTAAAAGAATTACTTATGTATTTCTTGATTAAAATAGCATTAATTCAATAAATCCAGTTTTTAGAATAGGCAAATGGTTACGAACTTAAGAGTTCGGGAGAAAACGAAGTCGGTAATCAACGACAGTAATTGACAGAACATCAGTCATCAATAATAAATGATGTAAGGATATTTTCATCAGTTTCTACAACATCTGACGATTTATCTACCATCAAGGAAATGGAGAAGTATGATGAAAATTATTTAGCACCTTGCTTTATAGAAATGAAATGAAAAATGAGCCTAGTGAATTATGTGCTAAATGTGAAAAAGGTATTAATAATAGTTGTTTAAATCTCTACAAATTAAAAAGACATACAGAATCTTATCACCTATAATTATGTAATAAAATTATATAATTTCAATATAAAACACAAGAAACGGGCGATAAAGGGGAAATAGAGTAGTCCACAGTTTGTACTGAAATACAGTGAACTGCAATTAAAATACATTATTTGTTATAAAATATGCAGAAATAGAAGTATCACATTTAAATATCATTATATTGTTTAACTACGTCAGTATAATAACATACTTTCTTATTAGCTCTGCATTACAAAGTATAAAATATTCAGCTTTTCTGGCTGATATATTTTCTCTATATTCATTTCTCTATAAAAATGATTTTTCCTGTAAACATACTAGCTGCTGCCAAAGGAAACATAATATTAAAAAAAGTCCGTGTCACGTATTTACCTCAGCAAAGCTTGTTCACCAAAATATTCTCCACGTCCCAGACAACGAATTTCTTCCTCAGCATAAATTCCGTCATCTGTAATCACTTTTTGCGTCACCCGAACCTTTAAAAAAAAAAAAAAAAAAAAAAAAATAGTATTGTATCTACACCAGTACTCGATCCAAAAATATACTTCTTTATATAAAGCATAATCACAATCATAAAACTTGTAGCTAAAACGGTGACTAATTGTACCAGCAACATGATGATCTGCATATCCGTGGCCTTTATTTGAAACGAATACATTATAAAACATAAAAATCAACACAACAAGAATGAATTATCCTGCTGAGACAAAAGCAAATAGAAGTGGTGTAATTTACCCCCATACACCTTGTCCACGAAAGTGCGTGCTTATCCGGTTTTCATTTTCGCATATATTGGTTTTAGGTATACACTTCCAGTTATAAAAAGTTTTAAATGACGCAACGATTCATGTTTTGGTATTTTTAAATCTAAATAAATGTTTTATAAAATCTACAAAATCTAACTTTTTTATGTTCCTGTGGTCTTTATACTTATATTTAGTAAAATGTTTAAGCGTTATAAAAAGCGTATAAGCGTTATAAAAGTTTCACTCATGTACGATAAAGATATTTAATTTCCGAGATATTTAATTTCAAAATTTGCAAGTTTTGACGTCATTTTCCGTTTGTATTGCGGAGTCAGTTAGTAAACGAATTAGAATAATTCGGTTTCTGGGATTCAAATAGTATCTTTATTTTAGAATTCTGTTACATTTGGTATGCCGAAAGGACTTTTTACACAAGTTGTTTATAAGTTTTTAAAGTCTAAAAATATATTATTAATATTCTCATGTAGTTTTATTATTCTCTGGGATCATATTGTAATAATCCTCTAAAAAGTCATTAAACTAGAAATAATTTTCATTTTTAATTAATACATATAATATTATGAGTTGGCTACGTGCAAATACTGTAGCCGCCAGTGTTTTCTAGAGCATGAAACCTATGAGATTCTGGAAATAAGATACCCTTTTTGAAAAAAAAAAAAAAAAAAAAATGATTATATTGTTTGTTTTTCGCAACAATCTGCATAGAAATGCTCGTCACGTAATCTCTTAACATTTGAAACCTTTTTCCTAAATGGCATTTTATTTTGAATTACAAACAAATAAAAACATTTCGCTCTTCACACATTTTTTTTCGCTTTTTAGTACACGGACCCTGACTATGATCTCCAATTTAAATATAAAATATCTTGGTCAATTTGATTCTAAGGGAGTCACACTTTTTTTTAATAACAGGAACAGAATTTTTTAAATATAAATATAAAGACCGGAGGAACATATAGAATGTTAGATTTCGTAATTTTTATAAAATTGATGTCTTTAAATTTAAAAATATCAAAACATAAATATTTGCCGTTGAGAAAATGAAGAACATGTAAGGACATTTTTTGGTATGATCAAAAGTTGCCAGCTACATTTGATTTTATACATTATTTCGAATTTTTTGAGGAAAGATTGACGAAGTGTTCTTTAAAATAAGTATCATATTTACAAGCTACTCTGAACAGCACATGGAAAGAAGCATTTCCCCAAATTTTTGTTTTCGGTTTACCTGCTTGGTTGACTTATGCGAAAGCCACTTGTTTGGAAAAATCGGACGAGAGATAAAGTTTCACGCGAAACATTTTCAGTTCAGCTCCAAAATGCTCAGCGTAGCTAGGCTAGGATACTGGTTTTAGGAACTCCCGAATGGTACGAGAAGGAGAGACTCGTTTCTCAGACAGCTTTCTTTTAGCCTCATTCACCTAGTTAGATGTGAAACCCCATAACTGATACTATGTTGATAATTATGAACGAAGTCACACTTACGAGTGAATTAAGAGCATCTACAACAAAATAATAAAAAAAACTAAATTTGATCATAAAATTATTAAATTATCAGTAACTTTCACGTAATATTTTGCATGGTATTTGCAATGTTCGTCTGCATTTTCCTAAATATAGCACATATATAAACGAAAATATAAAGGTTTCTTTCCAAAATTCCACATATTATGGCATTGTTTTCGTTTCACATATTATGGCATTGTTTTCGTTTATTAACCTCATGCAGAACATGCAGAATTTTCAACCAAATTTAATGAAACTTATAGGAAACACACAATGTTCAAGAGAAACGTTAAACTAAAATTTGAAATGAAAACTTTGAACATTCTATGTGGTAAAAGCATTTAAACAAAATACTTTTTAACTGCATATGCGTGACGCATATTATTTTTTTCTTTCATAATTCATAGTCAACTAGTGTAAAAGACAATTATATAAAATACCAAGTGAATATCGCCCAAATTTAGAAAGATATCGACAATATATTGAAGTTACTATCGAAAACGCGAAATTTTTACAAAATATTAAATTTTCTAAATTTATATTTTGATACTAACAATAAAAGCAATAGCTAATCTATCAATAGTAATATGATTCCCTTCTTTTGATCTAATCAAATTTCTTGGATTGACAAAAAATTGTAAAAGTCAATGGAGTAATTTGTTAATATCGAATTAATTTAGACTTTTAGTGGTTTAATTTGCGGTTTGTGATTGTCCGAGAATAAAAACTACCTAGATGAATGTAACATACCGCTATTATTAGAATACTTAAAATAAAACCAGTGAGCTGATGAAATTCATTCTGCTGCAACTAATATTACGTAGTGCAGTTATCATTTATAAAAATAATTTTTATTTCTCTGTTAGATGATTTGATTCCACATATGTAATTCAAGTGCAGTAATAAAATTTATCCTTGTCCAAAAGACGTGCAATGTCAAGAGCAAATTCGAGAGGAGAGATCCACTGCAAATTTAGCGCAAGTAAAACATTGTAAAAGTAAGTTCATTGCTTTTGTTGTTTATGCGAATGTTTCTCTACTTGATGCAGTGCCAATGTCAAGAAAAGTCAAAGGATAAAAGATTTCAAAATGAACAAATCTACCCTCCTGAAATTCCTAGACTTTATTGCGTATAAAATGTCAAGGTAACCAAAGTTCGATCAACATATTAATACAAATATTTCCTTGTAAAAAGCATGTTTGAATGAAACAAAAAAAAAAAAAAGAAGTGGTGAAGTAAAAAGTTTAGAAATTTTTCTTTTTTACAGAAATTGTAATGAAATTTGCCATTGTGAGACACCCTTGGATATATGAGCACAAACAAAAAGAGAAATAAAACTGCTTAGTAAGATACGTTTAATTAAACATTTAGTTTGTTATAAACGAAAGGTTTTCTGAGGAATAACGTTGTTATTCCTCAGAAAACCTTTAGAGACGATGCTTTGAGATAATCGCAAATATGGGAGGGATTTTCCAGATTCAGAAATGGTGACATGTTAAATAGGTAAGGTATTTGGAAGCTCCAGATTTCGAATCCCGAAGAGGACACTGCACATGTTTCATTTCTCCTGCTCCAAAATAAAATGCCTAATGTTCTCTATAAATGAAGACTGAAACGACCTAGATATCCGTTTGAGAGCAGAAATTAGGAAAATACTTAAAAAAATTGTTGCAGGCTACAAATAAAGTTCGTTGAAAAACCTCTTTCCTTTCGACAGTTCTCAGGAAAGACCAGTATGGTGTTTGTGTCTCACTAACATTACTCATCAAACCTTTTTCTTAGTGTGTTCCGTTACTGTTTTCATGGTTAAAAAAGCACTCAAAAATTAATTTAGTCGAATAAAAAAAAGCAGCAAATTGCAAGATTATGAGCAAGCAAATGCGTTGTATGCCGTCTGGAGCGTTCTAGAACTGTATTTCCATATTTCTAGCAGCTCACAAAACTTTGGAAAAAGTGTTTCGACGATACTGAGGGGCAAAGATACGCAAGTACAATAAAAATAATTCTGGTTGGTTTGGGATATCCCCTTGTACTTAAGGACAGAGCATTCGAATGTTCGTGAAAACGATTCGAGAAATGAAAACTCAGATATTCGCTCTTTTCTCATCATTCAAAAAGAAAAAAAAAAAAAAAAAAAAAAAAAAAAAAAAAAAAGACTGTTAAAAATTGGATCAAATTTTAGAAAGACTTGTAGTAGAGTAATAAGATTTATTAGAGCAAGAAACATGAAGATAAGCAGTACTTTAGTAGGAATTTGATCTCCCGACCTTCTGATAACTAGCCGATTACTAAACGTTTCCCAGTGAACCCCGAAGTCGAGTGGCAAGAAGAGAGAGATTACATTATATTCTCCCCCACATAAAGAATGACTGGGAAACGTGAATGGGACTAATCGCTAAATCCTGGTGGTGACAAATTATCGTTGCCCAAGAAACCACTTCGGAGTCACAACAAATTTTTGACATAATAGCTCTAGTGTTTATCTACGTTAATTCTTGGGAAAATCAGCCTCCTCCTAAAAAAACACGGATTTGCTTTGATTTAAATATTATTGGAAAATGTTGAAAAAAATAATTGCGACTCAAATATATTTGGTCAAATTAATTTGCGAAAATTGCCTTCAAGTCTCAAGTGTTTTAATTATGTACTTTTTTAATAAATTTCATTTGTATCTTTTTAATTAATGTTTCAAAATCTATATTTTAAGTTTTGCGTTTCATGAAACTCAGATTTCAGATTTGGTTGAATTAAAATAATCTTTAAGTGTTTTTTTTTTTTTTTTTTTTTTTTTTTCTCGTCTTACTATTTTTCAATGAAGAATTTGGGAGATTTGATTCGGATTAAAAAAGATCTAAGGTTCGCATTCGAGAAATATTTCATTCCACCTCTAATTATAAAGCTAGGCATTTTTTTCATCATTAGAAATAAATATATTTTGTAGAAAAAAAGAGGAAGATGGCAACGAAAAGTTCTTTTAAATAATGCTTTTCCTGGAATGAAAAAATAGAACCATGAAGTAAGCATTCACTGTACTTACATTTTTACTACAAGACCACATAATTTCATTAAGTGAAGTTACGATTTAGATTTATAATGAGAGCAAAAGTGTGCACTTTTGGATGAACATGATACAAAACTTTCCCAGTTCAGGATTAGTCGGAAATTTACGGTAATGTTTAACAGAAAAAAGCGGAATATCAAACACTGCAGGCACCCAGCACAAAAACAAGAGGAAGTATGCCCTTAAATATATGTTGTAAGGTGTATTTTAATTTTTCTAACAGTTAATTTTGACTTAAGTTACTTTCCTATCTTTCCTTAATTTCAGCTAACTACTTCCGGCCAGAACGTATTTTCAAAATCGCGTTTGATTGCCAATGAGGAGAAGAAGTATTTAACTGTGAAGTTCTACTGACTTCACAGTTAAATACTTCTTCTATAAAGAGCCTGAGAATTAGAGAGCCTGAGATTCTGATCAGCACGCGTTAACCTTTTGGTGATACTCTCTCACAAGCTATTATTACGCTCGGCCGTACTTTAGGCCTCTGATAGCTTCGCCGTTAGCTAGCGTTAAGAAGCCAACTCTGTTAGAATCTTGATAGCTTCGGCTATATCTCTTTAGTTAAGATTAGTTAAGTTTCATTTCTTAGTTTCCTGAGTTCGAGTGGAGGCTTTATTGTAAACCCCAAGAAAGGAGACATCTGTTAAACTTTAAACCTGTTAAACATTTGGAATAATAAAGGCTATTTAACCCTTCGTAAATTTACGCTTGTATCATTTCGAACTAAGCGATTATTCGCTTATCAGTTCTCAACGTTTCAGACACATTGCAATATATTCAAGATTTGGAATCTTACAATATAAATATATTATATTGTAAGATTCCAAATCTTGAATATTTGACTAAAATCTTGAATATTTGCTAAATATTTGACTTTAAATTATCGAAATTTATCAAGAGTTTATCTTACCTGACCGTTGCTGATGATGAAGAATGTGTCACCAGTAGCACCTTGACGAATTATGTACTCACCAGCTGGATAAAAATCCTAAGAAAGAGGGTAAAATATTTATAAAATATCTCATGTGGGCGTTACTTGACTTCCTTGTACGGCATATTAAATTATACACATTTTTCTGTATTCCATTTAAACTTATTTCTTCGAATTTCATTAGAAATTTATTTTTCATTCGATCAATTCAGTTCTCACTTCGTGGTGCATAAACACTCAAAATAATTTCATTAAAAATTGTAAACCACAGGAAAAATCAAAACGGCAAATAGAATTAAAAACAATTCAAAAAATCAATTTTTACAATTAAAATTAGACTTTCTACGCAAAAACAAGCAATCTGGTCAGCGGGTAAGAAGACAAAATTTTCACTATACAAAATTGAAAGTTAACTTTTGGTCACATTGAGCAAAAAAGATACTGAAGCTGGTGCACTTATTGTTCTGCTGAGAATTTCAAATTTAAACAAATGATGGTCTCATTAGGCTTAATTGCCACTTTAAATTGTTGACAATTCTACACCGGCTGCATGCAGATTAATTTAAGGCATTAAATGTTTATTACATATGAGAATAAAACCTGAGCTCAATGAATTGGGTTAACAGAGTGGCAATGCACATATGTTTGGTGCCACCGATTGCAACGAAAAAAAAAGAGCTGCGCAACTATAAGTTACAGTCTCATTTACAAAATTTCAACGTTCTACGGCTGTTCGTTTTTGAGTTATGCGAGATACATATACACATGCGTGCGTACAGATATCAACAAAAATCTCTTCTGAATCCATTTTAAATCCATTTTATAATAGATTTTGGGGAAAACAGTCCTTTATTCTGTCCGAACATACAAATGTCAAGCAAACACATCATTCAAATAGACTCGAGAGGGGTCAAAATGGATGTTTTCTATAATTTTTTGCAATAACAATACTTCCTTTACTTCGTACAAGGAAGGGAAAACGGTAATATGCTAAGGTTATGTAAATGAGAATTTAAAAAATTTTTTGAATTGGGCAAGATATTTTTAAACGAAATGCATAAAACTTTGCTTCAAATGCATCACACAACTAGTATGTAAAGTTTTTACTGATAAAGGCTTGAAATTATTTACATTGCGTAATAATCTAACAGCTGAATTTGTCTCAGCTATTAGGTTATCGCTCAGGAGAAATGCACATTTACAAGTAAAAGGAAATACGTATAACATAACTTGTTACCTTGCCCAATTGGACCACTACCGGTCAGCAGTTTTTATATGATTTCGTGATTATTTCTGTAATTTTTGTGATTTTTCTCAAGGGTTTATTTACTTATATATAATAATTACAGTATTTACTTATCTTTATATTTCGATATTATTGTAGGCAAATGATAATAAGAATGTTACAATTAACTTATGTACTAATTCTTGAATACCTTGTAGAGTTTTTTCCCGGGGGGGGGAGAAATAACTACCGATTCGCGAAAAGTAACCGGTCCGTGGGCCAGAAAGGTTGAGTTAGCTTGTAAATCTGCGTAAAAGGAGCAGTACATATTCAGTGACACAGGTAAAGTAGTCAAAGTAAGCATAACTACTTTGGGTATGTACTACCCTTTTTAGGCAGATTTACAAACTAATTGTAGGTAAAATAATCTCAAAGTAACGGACTTGACATGAAGTAGAAGACAAAGTATTTTCATTGATTTGTTAAATTTATATAAAATTTGAATTGATTTTTTTAATATTTTAAATTTTAGAAATAAATTTATAGTCATATTTATGCAATGCATTGCTCAAATTAAACTCTAAATATTAATTCATCTTGAATTTTTTTGCTTTTCTTCTGGGACAGTATATGTATTATTCGCAATATAAAAGGAAAGAATTACCAGTCTTGTAAAAGCCTAAGTTAGAGATAAAACATCGACAGAACTTCTGTCCATTTATTCAGTTCTGTGTTATGTACTTTGTGGCATATGATCTGTTTTAAGGACAAACAGAAACCTCAGTGTGAGCACTCTATGCAGAAGATTGTTATCATTTTTAGAGCTTTTTTTCACAGAACTTGAAGAAAAGATAAATACTGAAGTTCAGCAAATTAGACTATTGTTTTGATTCCTATGGTGTTTTCTCTAGTAACAGCTTTTCTTCTAAGCCATCTGTAAATTACATGACATGAATGATTTTACAGGATGTGGGAAATCTCTCACTGCATTTAGAGTAGAACTAAATTTTATCCTGGAGCTTGTAATTAAGATACAAGTCCTCTTTTATTGTATTATAAAAAGAATTAAACGGAACTGATGAACTATGACACAGATTCCGTGAAATTAATTTTTGGATATTGGTGTTGACTTGAATTTTATGGTTTAAGTGCAAAGAACATTTAATAAATAAAGGTAACACACAAAAGGTTAAAAAAAGTCACTTTGGGCGTAATGTAAAATCTGAAAGCTTTCAGATTTTTATTTATTTATTTCTTTTACTGATTTATTCTTTCTTTCCTTTAACTATTTCAAGAAATAAGCATAAAATCCTATAAAACGTATATTATTGAGAGCATTAGCGACAAAATTGGCTTAATGATGATAAACTAATTAGGAAGACTTAATCTATCATTTAATAGAAAATTCATTTACATGTTTAGTTCCATGCATTGGCAAAATAAAAATATAATAAGTAATATAAAAATTTACCACTTCTAGAACATCCGCCATTTTTGACAGCACTTCTTTACTGAGATTTTGCAGAAGAGGAACACTGAAAAACAAATATAAAAAATAGATTGAATCTAAGACCGGACGTGTAAATACATTTAAGGTTAAATTTGTTTCTTTTTCCTGTTTGCAAGAAGAGTTTGAAACAGAACATCATCATCTGACAAAGCCATAATATGGAAACAATAATTACAGTTTTTTATCGAATTTTTTATATTAACAAGGAAGGAAAAATTACAATTTTCATTACACTTTATAACAACTTGATGAAAATTTAATAATTCATCTTTAATGGAAATAGCAGAACTGTAATCAAAAGATTTGCAATTTGTACCAAAATAAATAGCTACCACGAAAATCTTATGCAGGAAAATGCATATTTACTCTATAACACGTACTGAACTTTGTAGGGTATTTTATGTTCATTAACCAATTATTATGATTTAAAATCTTAACTACAACTTTTCCTTTTCGTGGTTCACATCGGAATGCAAATTTGTTGCTAGAGTATTTCAGTAAGAGGTTTCGAATGTTTTAGAATTAGAGAGCTTTCGGCACCGTCGCTAGTAGTTTTCGTTACACCGTCCATATTCTCCAATAAAAATTCCGATTTTAGCCATTTCTCTAGCCGACATTAGAATATGTTATTAAACTACTGATACAACTTAAATAAGCCAATCTGAGTAGTGATTACGATAATTGAATTTAAACTTATGCTATTTTAAAATAACCGCAAGTGGAGGTTATTAGTACGCACAAGGTGTGCCGCCTGTTTAATTTAAAAGTTTAATAAAAAAAGTTATTTTAATTTTCTTAGAACTTTGTCACATTAATTCAGACAGAGAGATAATTCGTTTCTCAGTCTAGTAGGATCTGAAGGACACTGATTTAAACTTCTGCACAACTAAACCTTATAAATATTGCTATTACAACTCTTGCTGTTTCAGCAAAATCCCAATTATATGAGTCCCGACCGATTAATCAAAGTTTCATGTTATCTAAAACAACAAAACTTTTATGTATATTTAAGTATGTTTAACACTTAAATATACATAAAAGTTTATGGAATTATATACATGGAAGTATGTTTAACACTTAAGAAAAGTTCTGCCACCAGCATTCTCTCTTATGCATGTAAAATCTACAAAAATATTATTCTTAAATTGTGCCGGCGGACTTCTGGATGCTGTAGAGTAAATAGTTAAGGGACCATGAAAGGATACTTCAGAATAAAGTCTGATATGCTGTTTAATTTGATTATGTATGTTTTCAATGGACAAAAAATCCCACAATGTAATCATTCGATAAAATTCGCTATGTTCAGAACTGGCAGAAGGCCAACGCAAGCAATTACTCTATTTCTACTTGACATATTTGTTCAAAAAGACTTTTGTATGAACAGCAATAAAAGGAAAAAAGCATCATAACTGATTGTATGTCAAACCAAATTTATGTATCCACGTCTTGCATATCTAATGGCAACGAAACAGCACCAAGTTTTCCATATTAAAATAAATATGTTTCATTGTAAAAATATTGCAGTTAAAAACTAAGTTAATTTTTAACTTGCAAGGATCTTAAGTTTTACTAATGTTTATTTTATTTTAAATCTTTACTATCACTTCTTATTTTCTACTTCCGGCCAGAATTAAAAGCTTTAACTTATTTATGCAAATTTGTCTTGCGAACGCCAAGTACTTAAATTGTGGCTTTTTGCCAAGCAAGAGAGAGGAAGGAGTGATTAGGAGCGGGCCGCTTGCCATTGCAGTTTTACTCGGTTGCTGGTTGCCTTCAAGGCCAGAGGTTTAATCCTCTTGATAATTTTAAACGTATCGTAGTGTTAACAGTTCTATGTACTACATAGGGCCTTCCTGTTAATATACGGCCAATCTTCAAGTAGACACTTGTTTATTAATCCAAATTTAGTTTAGTTAGAATTTAGTTAATATTTTTATATTCTTACGTTCAGACCACAAGTGGTTGGTCTCTGTATTCCGAAGTCCGGAAATCATTGTAAAGAGAGAAAAATAAAGGGTTTCGTATACCCTTCCTGTGTATCTTGTCTACTTCCCACATTTATTGAACATAGCTTTAGTAAGCTCCCTGTTCCGAGTCAGGTTATTTAATGTTTACCAAGCAAGTAAGGAGGAACACTGAACCTGATAGTGGCGCTCGACGACGAAGAATAACCATGGCCGAGTTTCAAGAAGAACCTGTGCTGCCTGCAGAAGCGGCTCAGAATCCAGAAATGCCAGCTTCCGCCCTGGAAGGATTTGGTTACATCGTCCAGACCATGCGCGCATCGATGAAACCAGAAGCAACATTTAATGGAAACTCACCGGTAACCAGTTTTTTGGAAAAATTGGAGGACCACTTCATGATGTACCCCGTGCATGAGTTCCAGAAAGTCACCTTAGCTACCAGCGCTTTGAGGGGCCAAGCGCTTAATTGGTTCAAATGTATAGGCAGAAGTCTCTTGGGTCAAGCGGGAAGTCCCACCTATACTTACGAAATTTCAAGACTGCCCTAGTAAAAGCCTTCCCTCCTGTCGTAAGGGATCGTGGCAAAATTAGAAACGGAACTTTTCAGCATATACCAGAAACAAATTGAAAATCTCTCAAGCTTTATTTTAAGAAAAATTCACGTCTTCAAACTCTTGTATGGAAACCGTCCGGATCCTGAGATAATTCAAGTGCTTTTGCCGAGGTTACTTCCCCAATTTACAAGACTGTATGGAATTAAGGAATCCGACTACACTGGAAAAGTCATTTGAGCTAGCAATCCAGTTTGAAAGTAGAAGAACGGCGGACATTGAGAGAAGACGCCAGTATGAACAACGAAACCAATTCGGTGCGCCAAGACCACAGCAAAGACAAGAACACGGCTACGGAAGCAAAGCAAATCCGTGGGCAAGGAAACCCGTGTATCCAAAAACAACCGGCGAACGCCGACAGTTCAATAGTAATCCAGGAAAATAGTCTGAAGGCCAGTGGAAAAAGAAGGAAAGCACGGAAAGGAAAAAACAAGATTTAAACTAAAACGGATTTCTGCTGACGGGAGGGTGCGGAAATCCGAAGGCCAAGAAAACCCCTCTTCCTTCAAGTTAAATACAGTGATGGTGAAAAATTTGACTCTTCCAAAGACTGAAGTGTTGGTGAATAACATCCCAGCCACCGCACTCCTGGATACAGGCACGCAGTGTTCCTGTGTGGCAGAAGATTTTTTTAGGAAGTATTTTCGGAAATACCGCATATATAATTCGGATAATACGACAATATTAGCTGCGCAGGGAGAAAGATGCAAGTGCATAGGTAAATTACCGCTATACGTTCGCATCAAGGACGAACAAGTAAAGATTATGTTTTTTATAGTAAAGAATCTGCAAGCACATATCATCTTAGGGATAGATTTTCTTTCAGAGGCAGAAGCAACACTGGATTTTAACGAAGCGTCCCTTAGCTGACGATGAAACCAGTTCGAAAAGAGAAACAAACCACCAATGTTAACCTTGACCACCTGCCTAAGGAAGAGCAACAAAAAAATCCGACAAGTGGTAAGTGAATTTGCTTTCGACGGGGATTCACTGCCAGTTCGCCACAAACCATACCGGTATGATAAGAATAATAAATAGAGTGCACATTAGAGATATGTTACGTAAAAGATCATAACGCCCATCTCAAGTAGTTATGCTAGCCCGGTTGTTTTTATTAAGAAAAACAATAACTATCCAGTAACACATCCAAAAGGTGGCGTTTTGCGATGACTATCGTAAATTAAACTTCATGACTAAATATCCGGTATATCCGTTACCTATTATTGAAGAAATTCAAGGAACATAACTTCTACCAAATACATGACGACTTTAGACTTAACGCTGGTTATTTTCAAATAGGGGTTAGACCGGAAATGTGCCTAAGACTGTTTTATAAACCAAGTGGCATTTATGCATTCCTGCGTATGCCGTTTGGGCCTTTCAGGGCACCCGCAACATTTCAGCGATGAATTAAAATATTTAGGTTACAAAATATCTCAGAAAGGAATCGAGACAGACGAATCAAAAATAAATCGCTGTACAAAACTATCCGCCGCCAAATCGCTAAGAAGCTCTCTCTTTTTTCTAGGACTTTGTTCATATTATAGTCCTTTATAAAAGATTTTGCAGCTATTGCTGAACCATGTTAAAATTAAAAAGGGAAAGGCAAGATTCTCGTGGACGGCCGAAGCCAATAGTGCTTTCGAAAAATTAAAGAAAGCATAACGCAAGCCCCTGTTTTGAAATTCCTGAAAGGATGAGAATTTAGAAATTTCAGCGGATGCTTGCTTCGGATTATGCGGTAGGAGCGGGTACATTTCGCAAAATCAGAACCCGTGCATTTTTTAGTCGAACTTTAAATCAAACAAAAGAAATTATTCCGCGACCGAGAGAGAGGCACTTGCAGTTCTGTTAGCAGTGCAAAGTTCCGGGTATTTTGGAAGAGCGCCAATAACAGTGTATTCTGCCATGCGGCGGTAACTAGATTGTACAGGGAAAAACTTATCCCCAAGGTTAATAAGATGGCACTCAAGCACAAGAATATAATCTGGTAATCAAGCATACCCCCGGAAAGGAAAATATCATAGCAGATGCCCTATCCAGAATAAAAATAGAGAAGAAGTAATACTGTAAGGTGGCAATGCTGACAGCATGTACAATAAATTCCCGAGAAACTGTAATAACCGAAACTGGGTAAGGATCCTCATTCGGAAACTTTATGAGTATTTAAAGGATCCTGAAAATTTAGCCACCAAGATATTGTGGCGATAAGAATAGGGCGGCCTTACGAACTAATAGATGGTCTATTATTTTTATACAAAAACTACAAATTCCAACAACGAATTTCGACTGTTATCCCCGAAGCTTAGATTAAATATCCTTCAGGAGTTACAGACAGCCTCGTTCTCATATGGTATTCGAAAAACTATCCAACGCGTACGCGAGGCAGTCTATTTTCCTGAACTGCAAAACGGACAGGGGCGTATGTCCTCCTGGCTCAACAGGTCAAG